TTATACTCGACCTAGATTATTCGTACGACGTATTTAATGTATATAAATTACGTTGAAATCCCTAGATGTTAAAAAAACAACAAAATGCGTTTTCGTATTTAAATCGTAAAATTTTCGTTTTTAATTAATGAAAAAATGTATACTCTCTTTTAAAATGGTAGAAAATCAATACATCACAAAATAAAAAGAAAAAAAGTGAAATAAGTAATGATATTAATTAATTTATAATTATAATTTATTAAATTGATTAAATTTATTAAATTTAGAAATAAATAATTTTAAATTAATAAGTAGTTCGAAATTATAATAATATAAAGAATATGATTATGATTAAATAAAGAGAACTGCGGTAAGTTAATGGAAAGTTAATCCATCATAAGTATTGTAAAAATCCTAGAAAAATGGTATTTTAATTCCACATCATTATTGTTATCATTTTAATTTATAGTAATTTACTTGCAAGAATATATATTCCATTATTATGCAGGTTTTAAAATAAAAATAAGAAATTTAAGCACTCGTTATTATATCGTTACTTATTTATTTATTTTATACTTTAAATATCTAACGCTGCTTTAAATTTCAACAAATGCCACTCAAGCGTATTTTTAAATTAAGTTATTGCAGCTTAGATACTGAAAATAAATTGTAAGTTTCTTTTCTACAAGTAATATTTATCTTTCCTTTATCAGAGAAGATATTTGTATGGTTCAGTTTTTAAAATAGTAATAATATTTTAATTAATATTTATATTGTGAACTGATAAAGTATTTTAGTAGCATACACTGTTAAGGCTAAATCACCAACCTGTTACTTTGAGGAGAAAGAAGATCCCGAGAGAGCGTCTCAAAGATCTAAGCTTTGTCGTCCTTCGTAGTTTTTCCTAATTTCTCACTCTCGCTTCGTCTCTCTCTCTCTCTCTCTCTCTCCTCTCTCTGTTTCTCTTTATATAGAGTTCACAGTACACGGTATTAAATTCGATAAGTGCAAAGCAACTATTAGCATAATAATAATAAAAAAATAATAATAATGAATAATAGCAATTATAATAGTAATGATGATTTTAATAATAGCAATAATAACAATAGCAACAACAACGATAATAATAATAGTGATGATGATAATAATAATAATGACAACAACAATAATAATTAAAGCATATAATTTTACGCGTAGAAGCGAAATGAGAAATGCGTAAAACACGGAAGATAATGTGAACGGGCGTGCTGCCCGGCTTGCACTGCCCGGGTCGCCCGTTTTTCCCCTACTCGAGCCAAAGCCACCTGACGCTTTCTCCTTTACTCTCTCTCGTGCGCTCCCTCTCTTATTCCGCTTCTCTCTCTCTCTCTCTCTCTCTCTCTCTCTCTCACACACACACACACACACACGCACGCACACGCACGCACACACACACGCACACGCACGCACGCATTCACACACACGCACGCACGCATCCACACACAACCCTCGCTCTTGTTTTATTCCCACCTCCTCCGATTCCCTCTATTTATTCCTCTTCCTTACTCTTTATTTGTCTCTCTTCATTTTCACGTCTCGCCCTCTCAGAGTTCCCTTGTGTGGGTCCCCTCATCCCTCGCGTTTACCTCACTCACGCCGCAGCTTTTCTCGTTCCTCTTCTCTCCATTCCCCGCACCGTTCCTTCAACGTGCGCGCGCACAGATAAACACATACTCTGATCCAAAAATACGTCTTGCTTTGTCTTTCTATCAATTTTATTACTCTATTTTGCTATCCCTCAAACTTTTTTTACTTTTGGTAACTTATAACTCCTACGTGAACTGCTGTAATAAATATCTTCATTGTCATTCAAACATAGAATTGTACGATTTCCATATTCGTCTCAACTTCAGATAAATGAAACGCAAATATATTAATTTTATTTTAAACAAAGTTTAACAACATTTCTAAAAAAATTTTAATTATATCGAATAATTTATGTCAAATATCTGTTAAATATTTAAATTCGATATATAAGTTAATGAAACTATAATATTTCTAGATTGAAAAACTTTTCATAAAATAGTAAAAGAATCAGGTACTATTAATTATTATTCTTGTTACCTTCTTATTTTATTTATAAGGTTTCAAATTTTCATTAAAATGTTCCATGTCAAATACACTCTTGTAACCAGTATTTAAAATATCTATTAATTTATAATAAACAAATTTTTGATAAATTTTGATATAACAATTTATTGGACTTGGTAATGAATACTATTTGAAGTATTTATGCTAAGTCGAATTAATTAAAATACTTCTGAAGGCATTTGTATTAATTTCAGATTAAAAATTATTCTAAGGAATTTTATAGTGAGGTCATTTAAATATAAAATATTGATATAAATGTAATGAATGTTACAAAAATACTGTTATAAGCATTTATTTAATAACTTGTATAATAATGCTGTTTACATATGCCATCTACTAAATCATTTTCAACTAACTTTTTTTATATATAACTTTATTATTATATATTTATATATTATATTATTATTATTATTATTATTATTATTATTATATTTATATATAATGTCAATTAACTTTTTTTTAAATATACTTTAGCTGATTCATATATTCATACACTTAATTCCATTATTTTGTAAATTTATTTGTAAAGTTTGAAAATTATGTATGGTGTGTTTATTAAAAATAAGTTCTTTATAGAAAGGAATGGATGGATATTTATATTTAGGAGAAGTTAAATAGTTGCTTTGATTAAATTTATCAAAGTTCAATTTTATTCAATAAATAAACGTAATCATATGAAAAGCACCTTCGTACTATTCTAATTATACTAATATATATATTTTTTAATATTTAGTAAAACATTTTAATTTTAAAAGAATTTATTTGAGTGAAATCCTTTATTATATATATGTGAGCTGATTTATAAACTATTGTGTAAAGTATAATACAATCATATTTTAAAACATAATTTCTTATGAGTTCATAGTAAAAAAAGAAAATAAGAATTGTCATGAAGACACTATACAAGTGTCATGGAGACGGTGCTCGATTGATACATTATTATTTAAGTAATAATTAATTCAAATGTAATTTATAACATATAAGAATTTTTTCAATAATTTTATTAATAATTAAATTAATACTTACTAATCGTAATATAAAAAACTCAAACTAATTACAATTATGTTTCAATGAATGCAAAAATAATTCAAAATAACGTACCATTTGATTAATGTGCAGTACTTTTTTCTTCTATTCGGATATAAATTGAACTTTACTATTGACAAAAACACATATAGTTTATTTACGATATTTACTGATAACTCTCGTTTGTAAAGGAATACACATATAGGAATACATATGTATTTACATGCTTTATAAAATGATATTTACAATATTTATTATTTTATTGCACTTGAAACAATGTTATGAAAATCTGCATAAATAATACTTATGTTAAAAATTTGTATATTATAAAAATCATACTGACCTACTTACGTTCCGTCGATTTTTTTACATGAAATAATAATTTTTAAAATTTATTCAGAGTCTTTATTTAAGATACATTAAATCACATCTATATATTTGAATCTTTATTTCTTATTATTTGTCTCTGTGTTCTATTTTCTTATATACCTTGCATTTTATCTCTCTTTATATTTCACTATTTCATTTGACAGCAATCTGATTAGCATTTTTTTTTCTTTAAGATTATCAATACGTGCACTGTGTACTATATAGTAGTACAACTTAAAATTATCTTCAATTACACTATTCGAGTTCAGATAATACTTAACATTTTATAAATAGTAACAGCCTATATAATATTTTATTATAAAAATATTTATGGAAAAAGCTTTGATGATATTGATAATACTATGTAGCAAACTATAAACATTTTTGTTGCTAGTATATTTTTATTATATCTGCAATAATTGAATTACTTGTATCTTTAAGTAACCATTTAAGCGTTTTCTTGTGGAAAAATAGGTTTTCACTCGTCAAATTGCCGAGTTTTAATTTTGTATTTTCAATTTATATAAAAATCAATATTGTAGCTTTTCGAAATAAAAGTTTATAATAAAAGGAACAATATATAGTTATACAATGTGCTAGTTACGTATTGTATATAATGATTGAATATTAAAATAGTAAAGCAAATTCTACTCGCATATCATAATATTCAATTTCTATCGCAATTTAACCGAGCATTTTTATAATACACGAAATATTTTCTATTCTTATAAACATCCTAATAATTACGTAAGTTATAAAACAATAATATCTTTAATAGGATAATTTAAGACTCGACAACTAAGGCAAACATTGATTTTAATTCGTATATACTACTAATTTGTGTTTTTATGAGTTTTCTCTATGTGATTAAATTATATAATTATAACATAAATGTTACCTTCTTGTCAATGAAGTAACTCAAATTATCGTGTAAGAGATAAGAAAACAAAGCAATTTAAATTATATACTTTTAAGAATAAACAAATTTAAAAAAAAAAAACATAAATATCATTAGAATTCCGTTTAGAATATTTTATCTTTAGGTAAAGTAGATATTCAAGTTTAGTTACAGTTTTCATATAATTTTTGCAACATTTCCAAAAGCAATTTTTACATTTTTACGTACATTAACAAGAAATTATGTTTTTTACTGTGTTCATTAAAAAGGCAAAGAAAAACTCAAACAATCGCAAGAAAATAATTTATTTTGAAAATCATATCAGCATTTTAAAACGATTTTAAAATAAAATTTTAATGATCGCAAAATATTAAAATATAAATTTTCGAATACAAAAGGCAATTATTTTTTTAATATTTTTGTAGCATACATGTGCTTTTAGAACCTTTATGTTTCTAAAAGTTTTATACTTTTAGCATTTTTTTTTCACTGAAAACAAAGTATTTACATTACATTGAATATGTTTAACCTACAGAACATTAGTTTTACATTTAAATAATAATAACTGATTTTTATATTTTATATAATATGACTTACTTTCGCAGTCACGTAAACACATTCTTCTTTTTGGTCCTTGTTTCACTACAATGTAACAAATTCTAGAATCATTAATTTTTTAGAAAAAAGTAATTAAAAGTAATAATTAATTAAGGAAACTAATTAAGTAAATATCTCCGAATTAAAAAGCAATTCTTAAATTGCGATAATATTTTTAGAATAAATTAATGTCTTATCCTCTTGTTAATTTCGTATTTTTCATATTTAGATTTCATATTCATATTCATATTTAGATCGTATTTTTTTATTTGATCTTGAAATTTAATTCAATATATACTAAAAATGTCATAAATGTTTTGTAAATAGACATAAAAATTAAAAATTTAATGGAGAGCATTATGATTTTTATAATTATACAAAAGAATTTTTATATTTTTCATATTTGAAACACTAAACTGTTATAAATTATATGCAATAAATTTGTTCGTTCGAAATACGTGATAATAAAATTGTCTTCTTATTTAATAAAATGCATTCATTTATTAAAAAAGAACATTCAATATAATGAAAAGTAAATTTGTTATTAATGTAATATTCTTAAACCTCCCATTACATTTTAATTCAAACTCCAATTGAATTAATTTCGTAGCGACAAATCTCATTATTATTTAATCATTCTTACATTGTCTACTATTATAATTATATGGCTCGTTATAGAATTGTAGCATTGTTGATTTTTCGATTGCTTTTTGATGATTCTACAAATCACCATCAGTAACTGTAATGGAGTGTAAAATCTTTTAATCAGAGTCGTTGGATTTTAAATAGAATCTCTTTACAAACAATCAATCACGATTTACAAAAATTACAAATTAAACTAAAATTAAATATCCGACTATCGATGGATTCATTTACTTTTAGAAAAAAATTTTATACAAAACAAGCAGATGCAATGGCAAAATTTAAGCCTTTAGACTTTATTTTTATTTACATTGATGTTCTTCGATAGATAAAATAGAAATTAATTTATGTTAAATAACTGTCAAATCAATGCAAATAGATGCGACCCCTCTCTTAGGATCCCTGTTAATTGGACTCATCAATAAGCCGAAAAAGATGTATTAATGTAAAATACCTTAGGATACAACTTTTCCGTATATTAATAATGACACTGTTGGATACCAAACTGACATGGAAAAAGTCAATTCTTAATAAAGAAGCTGCAAGGCAAGTAAATGATCAGTCATTCTAATCACACACCATATTCCAATGCATTGACGAATAGTTGTCATATTTCGAGTTAAGTGACCCGGGTTACGTAGTATTTAGTTATGTTGGTAAAAGTATTATCAGAAAAGACGATTTTATTATCTGAGTAAGATAGAATGAAATTGAATGAAAGATATTAAACATATGTAGTGAGTGGATTGAACAGAATCCGTAATAATATGGAATTATCATAATGGTTATAAAAATTTTCTTTCCGCTGTAAATATTTTATATATATATATATATATATATATATATATATTAACCTGCACGTAGTATCTGAATTTCTTCTAGTAATGAGTAAACACTCTGGAATGCCTTCATAATTAATTACATAATAAACAATGTATTACAATACTTTAAAGTAAATACCTAACATGTTAACGACTGTATCATAAACTACATATATTAGCATAAAATTTAATAGAAAACATATATATTATATCAATTATATGAGTGAGAGTTAAATATGATAAAATGGCTCATATTAAAATGAATCAAAATTTTAATAAAAATTCTTCATTATCTTTTATTTTATAATCTAGAAATTATATATCTTACCCAAGCATTGTTTGTTGCAATCAGTAGAATCAACTAGGTAATAAAAATTATAGAGTAGCTAATATTAAAATGAATTAAATTTAAAAAAAAAAACAAAATTTATTTATACTTTTATTTATAATCTAAAAAATTATATGTCTTACCCAAGCATTGTTTGTTGCAATCCGTAGATTCAACTAAATAATAAAAAATAAATATATACGTCTAATAAAATTGAATGTGTGTTTGTGTATTTTTGTGTACGCTTTCGTGGAAATATGTATGTGTGTAATTGCGTATTAAATCTAATGTATACTTTAATAAATAGGAATACCTAAGAGAAATAATGTAAATATAAAAATCAAAGTTATGGCATGTTTTAAATATTCCATATTTGATTTTACGATGTACAAGCTCATTAGCTTCAATTTCGTCTATTTATTTTAAAGTTATCAATATGATGTTAAATATATTATCGTAAAAAATATGAAAATATTTAAAGTTTTAAAATGTTTGATGAGTTATTCATGATTAACATAAAATTTTTAATGAATTTGTTGAATATGAGAAATATTAAGTATATTATCATATTTTCATATATTCAAATATTATTATTTATTTAAAATATATACAATTTTATACTTATATAATATAATGTAAAAACGAATGTTTATTTTCAGGAATAGCATCGCACCAAATTTATAATAAATAAATATTTTATCATTTTTAACATTTTAATAGTTATTAGAGAATATTCCTATAGTGTGAATAATATAGGGAATAATGAAATTTCAGCAATTACTGATAATTAACATTCTCCAATAGATAAATTATTTTTAACAATCTTAAGACATGCATTCTAGAAATTATTGGCATTAAATGAAGAAAATGATCATTGCATTTTTAATAAAAAAAAATTCTTGAACAATATTGATTCCTTTTTTTCTATAATTATATACTAAGAATATTATTAAAGACATATAATGCAAATGGCTTCATTATATATTATTAATTAACATATATGTGTGATCTTAATACTTATTATAAATTTCATAAATTTAAGGAAAACCATCTAAAACGTAATAATTTGGGGAACAAACTGTTTTTTTGCCGATTAGTTTTCAAACTTCTCATTGAATCGTCATTTAAGCAATCTTTCAATACTTTCGATTTGTTATACACTTGGATCATCGCAATTTGTTGTTTAATACTTTATATTTTCTCTCGATAATTGTTCCAGGATTTTTCCCTATTATAAAATTTGTCGTTATTAAGAAAATAAAAAAAAAAAACTATATCTACTCAAACAAATATTGAATGTATAGTTAACTATTTATTGGAACAAAATACAAGATTATTATCATTATTATCATAGATATGTATACTAATGTATGAGTACGTTTTTAAATTTATTTCGTTCATCATTATATATCTTTCAACATTTTTATTTAAAATTCTTATCTTGAATATTAAATTTATTTAAAAAATAACATTTTAAAATATGTCCAAGATAAAACAAAGGAAATCTATAAATATTGTTGAACTCACCATTACGGTTAAGAAGACATCCTTTACTTCTTTTTCGGAAAAGATCAACCGCCATTAAATATAATGAAAAAATATGTACCTTTCAATTTTAATATTATTTTTACCCCTCAACGTAATATTGATAAAAATCTTAAAATAAAGAAATCTGAAGTCACTTGGTTTCGAATATGTTATTAAATTTTTATAAAATTAAAACTTATTTTTATAAACTTTTATTTCAAATTCTATTTATCGTACAAATTGACATTCGTAATTGAAAAATTCCAATAATATATAAATTAAATAAATAAAAGTATTTAATTAAATTATGGAGCAATTATTTATACAATTTAAAAAAAAAAATTCACATCATTCGGTAAATGCAATTATAATTCGTCTTAGAATGGAAATGAAATAGTTCGAATTGCATTCTAACTCAGTCAAATTTTCGAAATAAATATTACGTTTTCTTGTTTAACACATGCTGAGACCATCATGAATATTAGATAAGATGATATAACAGATCAAATATGCGCTTAAAACAATTGAAAACGTTAATACGAATAAATTATGTGCCGATCAACTAAAAAAGACAAGTGTGTGTACATGTATTAAACTGCATCACATTTGTAATTAAATAAATAGTATAATCATATTTTATATTTACATTGAAATAATTTAAATTGTAGAGTAATGTAAAATTGAATAGCGAAGGAATTGTATTATTTACAATTATTTATCATTACATATCATACCTTATATATCATAAAATGATATATAAACAAAAGGAGTTATTTTTATGAGAATTCGATATTCCAGAATAGCAATTGATATATAATGTTTTTAAAAATAATTTTTCTACTATAATATTAAAATTATACTATCAAGAATTTTTTATAAAATTGTAAACGTATATGTATATATATATACGAGGTTAGATGAGAAATTTAAGTGTGCATCAAAATTATATAATGAGCATGTTGAACGATCTTACATAAGTGACTTTCCATATTATGCATACATCAGATACTAAGAGAAAGTCATAAATTACATGCATCAATACTTTCATATCACGAATAAGGGATGCTATCAACAAGTATATCCGATTTGAGGTTAGTCGCTTCACTAGCCTTCTCAAGATCCCAATCATCTGTCCTTTTTTCTCCTTGTATTATCGTCATTTGATGGAGTGGAAGGAGATAATATATCCATATGGAGGATGTACCGCAATGTAGAGGAATTTCCATCAAAACTTTTTTCGAAACGCTTTTTATATGCATCCATCTTTTCTCTATCAACAGTAATTTATATAATCCTTCTTCAAAATCAATATTGATTAACAACAAAATGTACATCTTTTGCTAAATCCTGCTCTTTCTTTTTGCATAATTCTGTAATAGTCGATTCATATTCATAAAAATAATACGACCGCTCATGCACAATTATTCCTTATATAAGGTCATTCTTCTTATAAAGAATATTAATTAACCCTTAACTGTATTACATTCAATTTTCTAATGTAAATTCTGTTATTAAATACATTTTACTGTAACTGAAATGTAAGTAGTATTGTATTCACTCAAAAACAATGGTAAACAAGTTGTTTTCGAATTCACAATTTATTAAACAGGAATGTTTGTTAATAAGAAGCAATATATGTTAATTGTTACAAATATATGATGTTCATGGTAAGATTTTTTGTTGAAAACAGTTAGACGAAAATCATTTCTTCTTTGAAATTGGGTTGTAAAAATATTTTCTGAATAATTCAGTACAGATTTTACATTCTAGATAATATAAGATGATAATTATGTACTATTACATAAATATGTGTGAAAAGTACGTTTTAAGAAAAACGATATTATTTAAGTAGAATATTTAGAAAATGATTTAAAAATAGTAACTGTAATAAAATTTCATTTATATTATATATAGCAAATAAAAAACAATGTATATGTATTATTACGGAATTTTCTTAAAAGTGTCCGAAGATTTGTTTACAGTCATATATGTGATCATAGGAACAATAAAGATGATAAAGTAATTTTATGCTGTGCATAATAACATACCGAGTATATATGTAATGTAACAATTTTATAATTACAGATGAATGGTGATATTTGAAGAATCGACTTTTGCTAATTGCACATGACTCATAAATTAATCTTGTAGTACGTGACAATCAAAAATCAGCGAGAAATTGAAATTTAGATATTTATAATCTGAATGGTTAACCATACATCAATGAATATCTGTCAAATCATGATTAATATCTGGACCAAATGAATAAGAGTTAGTAAGGCAAACATCAGCAAGATGCTATCACTAATTTTTTTTTATTACAAGATATGATGTTAACACATTTAGCCATTATTGCTCAATTCATCTAAGATGGCATTATATATTAACTATTACAAGCTTATAAAAAAAAAATCATATCTAACTCTTATTAAGACAGACACTTGGAGTAGACTTTATGACTATTGAGAGCTCAATATTATAAAAAAATGCAAAGTGGTTAAAATTAGATCCTATTTCATAAAAAATATATTACTCAATCATGTAAATTAATAAATAATGGCGATGAGTTATTGCTAGTGATGAATTTTTGATTGACGAATTTTTAAGAATTTTCTAGCCTATCTGGAAATAATAGTCCTATGAATCACCTATCAGCGATACTTACGGAAGAGCCAATGAAAATGCACGAAAATATATATCAATCATGTTATCCCCTATTAAAATAATGACTTATATATATATATATATAATAACACGGGAAGAAAATATTTAAATTGTTGAGCTAAGGGATGACATTACGAGCGAAAGATCAATCGGACGGTAGTTCAGGCACCATACCGTGAAAGACTTGGAAGAAAAGTTAAAGTAAGATGCTAACATTTTCATCGTTTCATTCTTCCATCATCTCGGATGAATCCTGTGGAATAGCAAAATAAATTATATCGATATCATAATCACGAAATCTGACACTGATCCATCGTATTTTTCACTTCATTTTCCCATCGTAAATGACCCTATTAGAAATAACATCCGCTTTCTTCAAGGAGAACATTGACACAATTCATGTTTTTTAAAACAATTGATGAGTGAGCGTATCCTTACATAGAAAAAAATGCAACTCACACAGAAAAAAATTATTTTTCTTCACATTTAAATATTCGTAAAAATCTTACATTACCTATAAAAGGTTTTATTTAAGCGAAATGAAGTTCTTGGGAAATTATTGAAAAATGATATTTTATTCAAAATATAATTGATAAATAAAAGATAGTAAATCATAATAATATTAATAAAAATGTAGCATATTCATTAAAAATTATAATAATAATAAAAGAAACAACTTAGTTGAATATTAATTTGAAAAAATTATGATTCTTAAAAAATGTTCATACATTTTTCTATTATGTGAAATATAATTTTCTGTCGTTGAATGCGGAATCATTAATATTAAAAGAAATACTGACGTTTTAATTGAAGGTTAGATCTTAATTATAATTAGCGTTAGTATGTTTCAAAATTGACAAAGGATAGATATCATAAAATGATTATTGTATAAACTCAGTCATGACATTCAAATAAATTTAAAGATAAATGCTACCATCTTTTGGATTTTGAAAATGTGTATATACTCAAAGCAAGTTTATAAAAATTTGAATAGTTAAATAAAAAATTAAACATTATAATGTCAGTGCATCATAGTAAAATATAAAAAAATCAAATAAAAAATAATTTCAAACTCATGATACTAAATATGTCACATTTTTAATCAATAAAATTAATAAAAACTGCTTTGTATAACAAAAATATTTACTTCACTCCAAATAAAAAAAAATTGAATAAATGCTTTTATCTTACTTGGACACTGTTTTAAACAAGCATC